ATTTTGAAGTAGGAATTTTGTTTTCTTTCTATTAAGGCAGCTATTATATTTTTACTTAGCCTGAGAAATAGGGTATAGTCTCCTATCTAGGCAAAGCTTTCCAAATAAAGTATAATCTTACTCTCTCATAAGGAGCTAACAGAGTAATGCTCAAAGTTATTCTGCTTTGTAGTCACACAGTTAAAGGCTTTAGTAAAACCGTACAAAAATTTCTTTTATCTAAATATTAACATTCTAAGTCTACCATAAAACACTTTATGTCAAGCAGACCAAAATCTGTGTTCTTATAAGAAAAACTGAAAGTCCAACCTGTTTCTCAGAAAATAGCCATAAAGTTCTCCATTGCAAAGGCTTTCAAATATGATACTGCAAAACATTTTTTTTTACATTATAGGAAAGAGAATCTCAGCAATAAATTTGTCCAAATGTAAGACATGAAAACAAAATGAATTCTGTAGTGGTATTGCACACCGCCTTCCTACCCACCCATACATGTCCATGTTCACAGAAAAAGACTACAGATTCATAAGAAAGCTTCTGAGAAGCATTTTCTAAAGACTCATGATTAACTCATATATTTAAGGGTGAGGATTCACCTTCGATCTAATAGTGAATTTATAAGGACACAAAGCTGTCAGATTAAAGTTCCTAAAATAAATTTCCTCTTGCTCAAACCCCATTCAAAAGTCTTAGTCTCTACATTGCTTTGGGGTTACGTACAAAATTATCAGTGCTTTACAAAGATGAGTTTAATACTGTGGATTGTTTTCAACATAAATCATACGTGAGAATCAAGTTGGTCTCTCTACACTATTCCCAGAACAAACAAATACTTATTCGTATTTTTAAGCATTTGCTTCTGTTTTTTTCAGAAATAAGTAGGTCATTCTACCTAGAATAACCTCCTGTTTTTCAAATCTTCCCTCATTTGTCATGGTTGACCCTAAGACGAAACTTTTTCATTAAAATATCTGTGATCTTAAGGCCACAATAATTACTGCTATAAAAACTTATTAACTCATTCACTTGTTTTACTCTGGTAACTGATAGTCATACTACCATACTGCCTTCTCATTATCTTGTGTGCATGCCTCATTTCTCTGTGACTGAAAGCTCACCAAATGCACTGAACATACTCCCTTTGTACTTTCAAAGTGCCTAGCATAACAGTGAGCACATTTGATTTGAATATACCATAAACAGTGCAAAATAAAATTCATTTTAACATAAGGGCTCTGTTTTATTTAAAAAAATAGAATCTTTAAACTATAAAAATCTTGAATAAATCAATGGAAATAAATTGTAACTTTATCTGGAAAGATAATCTTGATAGGGGAGAGCTGAGTGCTGGGACTGACACTGGGGAATGCAGTTGGAGGAGACCGCTCACGTCCCAGATATCAGTAAAGCACAGCAATGTTTTCCTACGTTCTTCATATAATTAGACTTAAAGAGAAAAAACACCATAAAATAACTCAAATTTTAGATAATTCAAAAGCCAGTGGCTTAGATAAAATAATAATTAGGAGAGGAAAGTCACTGATGAAAAATCTGAATGACCGGGGCTGGCCCCATGGCCGCGTGGTCGAGTTCATGCGCTCTGCTGCAGGTGACCCAGTGTTTCATTGGTTCGAATCCTGGGCGCAGACATGGCACTGCTCATCAAGCCACGCTGAGGCAGCGTCCCACATGCCACAACTAGAGGGACCCACAACGAAGAATATGCAACTATGTACTGGGGGGCTTTGGGGAGAAAAAGGAAAAAAATGAAATTAAAAAAAAAAAATCTGAACAACAGAATTACCTTAAAGAAATAATTTTGAGACTTCTAGATAAGACGATATGAACATTGGTACCTGGCAAACTTATATACCCTTAAGTTACAAATAAAATAAAATAACGAGAGAAAGTAAAAATATGCTGATTCCATTATCGTAAATAGGTATTGTTTCATTCTTGACATGGAAAATTAAAGAAACAGAGGCTTAAAATTAAAAATAATTTACCCTTACAAACATTCCTGAAAGAAACTAAAAAAGACACACATAAATGGAAAGACATCCTAGGTTCACGGACTGGAAGACTGAATAGTTAACATGTCAATACCATCCAAAGCAATCTAGTTTCAATGCAATCTCTATCAAAGTCCCAATGACATTTTATGAAGAAAAAGAAAGACCCATCCTAAAATTCATATGGACTCTCAAAGGACTCTAAATAGCCAAAACAAATTTGTAAAGAAGAACAAAGCTGAAGGACTCATACTTCCTCATTTCATCACTTACTACAAAGCTATAGTAATCAAAAGTGTGGTCTGGCTTAAGGACAGACACACAGACCAATGGAATAGAATAGTGAGCCCAGAAATAAACCTTTGTGTATATGGTCCAATTATGTTTGACAAAGGTGCCAAGACCACTCAATAAGGAAAGGACAGTCTTTTCAACAAATGGTGCTGGGAAAACTGGATATTCACACACAAAAGAATGAAATTGGACCCACAGCTTACAATGTATACAAAATATTAACTCAAACTGGTCAAATACCTAATTTTAAGAGCTAAATTATAAAACTCTTAGGGGAAAAAAAAGAGAAAAATCTTTATGACAATTAATTTGGCAATGATTTCTTGGATATGACATCAAAAGCATAGGCAACAAAAAAAAATAGATAAATTGGACTTCATCAAAATTAAAAATTCTTGTGAATCAAAGAACACTATCAAGAGAATGAAAAGACAATTCAGAGAATGGGAGAAAATATTTGTCGATCATATATTTGGTAAGAGATTACCCTCTAGAATATATAAAGAAGTCCCACAAATCAACAACAACAAAAACAATCCAATTCAAAGATAGGCAAAGGACTTGAATAGACATTTCTCCAAAGAAGATATATAAATGGCCAAAAAGCACATGAAAAGATGCTAAACATCATTACTCATTAGGAAACTGTAAATCAAAACCACAATAAGAATACCACTTCATACCCATTAGGCTGGCTCTTACCAAAAAATAAACAAATAAAAACAAAAGACCCCCCAGAAAATAACAAATGTTGACAAGAATATGGAGAAATTGGAAGCCTTGTATACTGCTGTTGGGAACGTAAAATGATGTGGCCCCTGTGGAAAAAAAAAAATGTGGTTCTTCAAAAAATTAAACATAGAATTACCATACAATCCAGCAATTCCATTTACAGGTATATACTTAAAAGAACTGAAAGTAGGGACTCAGATATTTGCACACCAATGTTCAAAGAAGCATTATTCACAACAGTCGAAAGGTGGAAACAACCCAAGTGTCCATCAACAAATGAATGGATAAACAAAATGTGGTACATACATAAAACTGAATAGTATTGTGACACATGCTACAAAATGGATGAAACCTGAGGACACTATGTTAAGTGAAATTCCCGGCAAAAAGGAAAAATGTTGTATGATTCCACTTAAATGAGGTACCTAGAACAGTAAAATTCACAGAAACAGAAAATAGAATGGTGGTTCCCAGAAACTGGAAGGAGGCAAGTTAGTACTTAATGGGTACAGAGTTTCAGTTAGAGATGATGAAAAAGTTCTGGAGATAGATATTGGTGACGGTTGAATAACAATATGACTGTTTCTTTCCATTCTAGCAACCTTATCACCAGCAAAGACCAGCTCATAGAAGCGCTCTATCTTCTATAGGAAAAATACACCAATTAGATTCCCACACCTGCCTTGAAAGCACTTAGAGGCAAGTCAGCTTTGGAAATGGGGACTGGTGCTCACATTTCCCACAACCCATTCAAATGTATCAGTCAACAGCCATATTAAATGATTCGTTACCACTACTGCCAACATACTCTTCAGTCAGCAGTACATTTTACCAATTGTGAAACAGAGCTATTTAATTGTTCTGGCGTGGAAGCACCTGCAAGTAAACAAGGTAATCATGAGAACTCTCCAAGAGGCCACAGAACAGATACAGGTAAAGGTATAGGTACTGGCATGTTCCATTCTAAAGAAAATTCTATGCCTGACAGATTTTATCAGCTCAAGCAAATAGAATGCAAATATTGATATTGATGATGATGATGATGATGATGACAAAGAATCCAAAATAAAGGTGAGTTACTATCAGTCATAAAAACAAGTCATGATCCCGTTAGGCTTTTGAGGGAACCTGAACCTTTAGATACTATTTATGTTGACTCTTTCAGAACTGTTTTTTGTGTGGAACGCGGCTGTCAACAATTTGACCCTATCCAACTAAGCAGGATCTGGGAGATTACAATTCAGCCAAACATAATTTTAGTTATGCCAGAAAACAAACAAAGGGAACAGAAAGAAGTCTTTGCATGTACCCATATCAGACTTGAGAAGCATTACTTTACAAGAATTAGTCTTAAGTAGTTAAACTTGAAACATACGATAATTAAGAAACTCAAAATATAGAGTCTGACTGAGGAACTAAAGATTATACTCCTATGTGATAACCTTGCTATCATTATATTCTTTTTTGTGTGTGTGTGAGGAAGATTAGCCTTGAGCTAACATCTGTGCCAATCTTCCTCTACTTTGTATGTGGGATGTCTCCACAGCATGGGCTGATGAGAGGAGTAGGTATGCACCCAGGATCCAAACCTGTGAACCCGGTCTGCTGAAGTGGAACGCGCAGAACTTTAACCAGTGGGCCACGGCGCCAGTCCCTGATTATCTTCTCTATTAACATTTGTCATTTTACTTCATGTACCCTGGACAGATTTTTTCAAAAATGCATATTTTAGAATAAGTATATAACTATGCTTCTTTCAAAGTAATCTATAATATAAATGATTCACTGATTTGTATAGAAGCATTCCTCCTTCATTATTCCAAATAACTGCAAATTCCAGAAGCCAAAGAAAATATTTTCCATTGTTTGAAAATTTTAAGGAAAGAAGGTTATGTTAAATCCCCAAATTAACACCAGCTTCACTTTTCATATATACTTAAATTTAAAGACTTTAGACACTACCTTGAAATGTTTAAACGTGCGCTTACGATATTCACACCACTCCACAAAAAAGCGTAGGCTTCGAAAAAACATGAACAGATCTCTTCTTTCTTCTGCTCTGTAGGAATAAGATTCTGTAATTAATAAACAGAATTAAATGAGAGCCCCAACCTCACTTTCTTATTATAACTTTGTATACATCCTGAACAAAAGCTAAAAAAAGTACTTGATGTATTTCCACACAGTTGTGCTCACTTAACAATAAGGATACGCTCTGAGAAATACATCATTAGGCAATTCTGTCATTGTGTGAACATCATAGAGTGTACTTACGCAAACCTAGATGGTATAGCCTACTATACATCTAAGCTATATGGTACTAGTCTTATGGGACCACCATCGTACATGCAGTCTGCTGTTGACTGAAATGTCCTTATGCGCTGTGAGACTGTATACTGAACTGTGCACTTTTGAGTGTGGGCCCCTGTGATTGCTAGTGCTGCTTTCTCAGACTGGAATGCCCTCTTCCACATCTTAAATGTTTAAAGCCTACCCATTTTTCAAGATTCTCTCTCAACTGCCATGTTCTTCTTGAAATCTTACTTGATGACTGTGGTAATAAAGAATATATCTGGTCTTTGTCCCCAGCTCCTGGCACAGAGCTTCAAAACCCCATGGAATTCCTGAGTGACAAGAGTGCCTGTTATGCTGATGAGGTGACTTTGGTGGCATCTCTTTAGCCTCAGAATGGGGACTGGTCACCAGAAAAACCAACCATATGATGAAAGGGTTGGAACTCTGGGCCAGCAAAACCTCCAGGGAGGACAGGGGGGCTGAAGATCGAGTTTAATCATACGGCCAATCATTTAATCAATGATGCCTATGTAACGAAACCCCAAGAAAAACTGTGAACAACAAAGCTCAATGGTGCTTCCTGGTTGGCAAAAGCGCTGAGGTGCTGGGAGGCTGACATGCCTGACGCGACAAGGAGAGACACAGAAGCTCTATGTTTCTCTTCTCCATCAGCACCCTGCCCAGGCATTGGCTGATATATTGTTTCCATTTGGCTGTTTCTGGGGTTGCAGCTTTTATGATAAAACTAGAATTTTTAATATAGCATTTTCAATGAGTTCTCTGAGTCCTTCAAGCAAACTATAGAATCTGAGGGGGTTGTAGGAACCCCAAAATTTATAGCGAGAAGTTGGAAAGTCCAGGTGACCCCTAAGACTTGTGGCTGGCATCTGTAGCAGGACAGTCTTGTGGAGGACTTTGTTCTTAACCTTTGCACCTGAGATAAATCTAGGTAGTTAGTGTCAAGACTGAAGTGAACTGCAGGACACCCAATTGTTGACAGAGAATTACCATCAGAACAATGAGCTCACCACCAAACAGTATGCCCTGTTCCAAAATATCTAGACACAGTTTCATTCTTATGCCTAAGAATTCCCAAAGAAATTTATCCTAATTCTCTTTATACTATACCTATTGTTACATTGAAACCCACAAACATGAGCAACTTGTAGGCTAGATGCATATATTCTGTTAACCATTCTTTCAATAAATGATTGTGGGAGTCGAGTTCCCATTATAGCCACAATGAGGTAAGCCCATTCCACCCAAATGCTCCCATTAATAACAATTTAGAAGCATGGTCATAACACATAAAGCAAATACTGGAAGACTGAAATGTGGCCAAAGAAGGCAGAATGGGCGGAGACCTCAAGAATTAAGAGAGAGCCAGGCAATGAGTTCCGTGGGCTTCATTTTTGCCTTCTGTATATGCCAATCAGGACTCTAGAGCAGACTGCAACAGAGAACAGCCAAAGGATGGAGTAAAACAAAACAATGACCAAGAAATATTGCTCCATCTAGCTGGCAGAAGTCATATAAGATGAGAAGAAGGAAAACATCAGTTTTGGTGATGATTTTTTGGGTTTGTCACCAAAAGCAAAGGCAACAAAAGCAAAAGTAACAAGGGATTAAACTTAAAAGCTTCCACTGAGAAGGGAAACCAAGGGGCTGGCCTGTTGGCACAGCGGTTAAGTTCGCATGTTCCACTTCTCGGCAGCCTGGGGTTCGCCAGTTCGAATCCCAGGTGCAGACATGGCACCGCTTGGCAGGCCATGCTGTGGTAGGCGTCCCACAAATAAAGTAGAGGAAGATAGGCACGGATGTTAGCTCAGGGCCAGGCTTCCTCAGCAAACAACAGGAGGACTGGCAGTAGTTAGCTCAGGGCTAATTTTCCTCAAAAAAAAAAAAAAACACAAAAAAAGGAAAAAGAAAGGAAACCAAGTGAAAAGGCACCTGCAGGAAAGCAGGCCATGTTTGATGGGGCTAAAACCCAAAATACAAACAGAACTTGCACAAATTGGCAACAAAAAACAGCTGAATTGAAAAATCGGCAGAGGAGGAGTGACGTCAGCATCACAGCAGAGTGAGTTCTCCCCGTAAACTCTCCCCTCTAAGATACAACACAAACGACATTCTCACTCAAACAGAGGACATGCACACAACACAAACGATGTCTGAGAAACCAGGCAGCCATGCGATGGCAGATGGAGGTGCTGGAGACCCCTCCCCAACCTGAGGAAGTGGAAGGAGGTAAGGCAAAGCTATTCTTCCTCCCTGAAGGGCAATGACCAAAGGATTGTGTACAGCTTCTGAAAGAAAGGGAGGGAGGGAGGGCAGCCCTCCATGGAAACACCAGATATCTCCGAGGTCCCTCACAGCCCAGGGAAAATCCCCCCACAGAGATGACCATCTATCGTGGGGTTGACTTCATCAAGCCAACAGCCCAGAACAGCAGATAGTGAGGGCAGAGCAAGAAGCTCTACAGATCACAAAGGACAAAGAAAGCATTGCTCCACCCCGACCCAGGGTCCCAGCACAGCACCTGGGAGCTGGCCTGCAGATCACAGAGGGATCAGAATATGCAGCTCTTGACCGCCACCCACTGGCAACATGCAGAAGCAGTAAGAAAATACTACCATAATGCGGAAACACAAATCCATGCCGTCAAGCAGTATGAAAAAATGTATTAAATCTCCAGACCAGAAGGAAAATGACAAGTACCCAGAAATTAACCCTGAGGACACAGAAATGTATAACCTAAATGACAGACAATTCACAATAGCTATCATTAAAAAACTCGATGAGTTAAAAGAGAATGCAGAAAGACAGTTTGACAAGTTCAGGAACTACATCACAAAAAGAGGTTCAAACTACAAAGAAGCACCAATCAGAAATACAGGAGATTAAAAACACAATGATTGAGATAAAGCAGAATATGGATTCCCTGAACAAAAGAGCTGATATCACAGAAGAAAGAATCAGCCACACTGACAACAAAAATATAGAAATGATTCAGATGGAGGAGAAGAGAGAACAAAGACTAAAAAGAAAAGAAGACATTCTCTGAGAAATGTGCAACTCAATTAGGAAATGCAACATAAGAATTCTAGGTATTCCAGAGGGAGAAGAGGAGGAGAATGGAGCAGAAATCTTGTTCAAAGAATTAATAGTAGAGAAATTCCCAAACCTGGGGAAGGAGATGGAAATCCATGTGGAAGAAGCTACGAGATCTCCTAAATATGCCAATTTAAGAAGACCTATTGCAAGGCATATAGTAGTGAAGGTAGCAAAAGGTAATGACAAAGAAAAAATACTAAGGGCAGTAAGGCAGAAGAAAATAACTTACAAAGGAACCCCTATCAGGCTTTCAGCAGATTTCACAGCAGGAACCTTACAGGCGAGGAGAGAGTGGAATGATATAGTCAAAACTTTGAAAGGCAGAGACTTTCAGCCAAGAGTACTCTATTCAGCAAGAATATCCTTCAGATGTGATTGAGAAATACAAACTTTCCCAACTAAACAAAAGCTAAGGGAGTTCACTGCCACAAGATCTTCCCCTACAGAAATCCTCAAGAAGGCCCTCAGATCTGAAAAGAAAGAAGAAACAGGTTAGAAAGCCCTGAGTAAGGACACAAATAGGTAGACAAAATCAGAAAATTGTAGCTGTCCATCAGAACAGGTTAGCAAATACTCAAGTAAAATATTAAAGACAAAGGGAAGGAAAACAGCAAAAACAAAGATAATCTTGTCATTTTAACCACAAACTCACAAGATGTAATAAGATGTGACAAAAACAACTTAGGAGGGGAAGAAGAAAGGGACTGAATTGGCTTACTCTAAGGAAATAAGAGGTCATCAGAAAATGGACTATCTCTTCTACGAGATTTTGAATACAAACCTCATGGAAGTCACTAAACAAAAAAGTACAACAGAGACTAAATAAGTAGAAAGCTAGCATGAAAAACTACCTAATTGAATTGGTAGTCTGAAATAGATGGGACCAGAAAAAAGGAAATGCAGCAGAACCAGAAAATAAGCAATAAAATGGTAGAATTAAGCTCCCATATATCAATAATTACTCTAAAAGTAAATGGATTGAATTCTACAATAAAAAGATACAAGGAGAGAGATGGATTAAAGAACAAGATGCTGCCTCCAGGAAAAAAATCTCAGCTATAATGACAAACAAGGCTCAAAGTGAAGGGATGGAAGACGATACTCCAAGCTAATGGCAAAAACAAAGAAAGCAGGTGATGCCATACTTATACCAGACAAAGTAAACTTTAAGGTAAGACAGGTGAAGAGAGACAAAGAGGGGCAGTATATAATGATAAAAGGGACATTCCACCAAGAAGACATAACACTTATAAATAAATACGCACCCAACACAGGAGCACCAAAGTACATAAAGCAAGTATTAACACACCTAAAAGGAGATATTAATAATAACACAATAATAGCAGGAGACGTCAACACTCCACTCACATCATTGGATAGATCATCAAGACAGAAAGTGAACAAGGAAACAGTGGAATTACATGAAAAACAAGACCAGATGGATTTAATAAATATATAGAGAACACTCCATCCAAAAACAGCAGAATAAACATTCTTCTCAAGTGCACATGGAACATTCTCAAGGATAGAACATATGTTGGGAAACAAGGCAAGCCTCAACAAGTTTAAGAAGACGGAAATAATAACAAGCATCTTTTCTGACTGTAACGGTATGAAACTAGGAATCAAATAGAAGGAAAAAAGCTCAGA